AGGGAAAAATTTAATGGAGGGGGGGAAAAAAGGTTTTGGGGGGAAAGGGGGGAGTGGGGAAAGGTGGTTATTTGGGGGGGGAAAGGGGGGGGGGAAATTTGGGGGGTGGGAAAAAGGTTGGGTTAAAATTTTTATGGGGGAAAAGGTGTTATTGGGGGGGGGGGTTTTGGAAGGGGAATTTCGGGGGGTAGGGGAAAAATTCGGGGTTTCCCCTGTAAATTTGGGGGTCCCCCAGGGCAATTTGGGCCCCCGGGTTTCAAATTTTGGGTTTTCCCTGGTAAAATTCTTTTTGTCCCTTAAAAATTTTGTTTCCTGGGGGGGGAAAAAATAACTTTTTTGTCCCTGAGTAAGAAATTTTGTGCCCTCATTTAACGATTCGTGTCCCTCAGTAAACAATTTTGTGTCCCTGGTTTAACAAATTTTGTGTCCCTATAACAAATTTTGTGGGCCCGATTTCTTTTTGTGGGGGCCCCAGTATCAATTTTGTGGCCCTGAGGAACAAATTTTGGGGCCGGGGTAACCCATTTTTGGGGCCCGAGTAACAAATTTTTGGGGCCCTGAGTAAAAATTTTGTGTCCTGAGTTTAAAAAATTTTGTGCCCTGGGGTAACAAATTCCCGGTTGGTTTTTTCCCGTCCCTAGTAAAAATTCTGGTTTCCCCCGTAACAAATTTTGTGTCCCTGATAACGATTCTGTTTCACCCCAGTAAAAATTCCCCGTGTCCCTGAGAAAAAAAATTCTTTTTTCCCTGAGTAAAAATTCTTTTTGTCCCTGAGTAAAAAATTCTTTTCCCTGAGTAACAATTCTGGGTCCCCCCATAAGGGTTCGGTGTCCCTCAGTACAATTTTTGTGGGCCCCGAGTAACAATTTTTCTGTCCCTAGTAAAATTTTTGTGTTTTTGGGGCCCGTAACAAATTTTTGGGGTCCCTAGTAACGATTCTGTTCCCTGGGGTAACAATTTTGTGTCCCTTTATAAAAATTCTGGGTCCCCAGTAACAATCTGTGGCCCCGAGTAACTTTTGTGGGGCTGGGCCTGAGTAACAATTCTTTTGTCCCCCCGAATAACAATTTTTGGGGGTCCCTGAGTAACGATTCGTTCCCTGAGTAACGATTCTGGGGGTCCCCCCAGTAACAATTTTTGTGTCCCTGAGTAAATTTGGTTCTTTTTTCCCCCCCCCCCCCCCCCCGAGTAACAAAATTTTAGTAACGATTCTGTTTCCCTGAGTAACGATTCTGTGTCCCTCAGGAACGATTCTGTGTCCCTGAGTAACAATTCTGTGTCCCTGAGTAACGATTCTGTGTCTGTCCCTGATAACGATTCTGTGTCCCTGAGTAAAAGATTCTGTGTCCCTGAGTAACGATTCTTGTGTCCCTGAGTAACAATTCTGTGTCTGTCCCTGAGTAACGATTCTGTGTTCCCTCAGTAACAATTCTGTGTCCCTGAGTAACAATTCTGTGTGAAAAAAAATTCTGTGTCCCTGAGTAACAATTCTGTGTCCCTGAGTAACAATTCTGTGTCCCTCAGTAACAATTCTGTGTCCCTGAGTAACAATTCTGTAACAATCTGTGTCTGTCCCTGAGTAACAATTCTGTGTCCCTGAGTAACAATTCTGTGTCCCTCAGTAACGATTCTGTGTCCCCTCAGTAACAATTCTGTGTCCCTGAGTAACAATTCTGTGTCCCTGAGTAACAATTCTGTGTCGTCCCTGAGTAACAATTCTGTGTCCCTGAGTAACAATTCTGTGTGTCCCTGAGTAACGATCTCTGTGTCCCTCATAACGATTCTGTGTCCCTCAGTAACAATTCTGTGTCCCTGAGTAACAATTCTGTGTCCCTGAGTAACAATTCTGTGGTGTCCCTGAGTAACAATTCTGTGTGTCCCTGAGTAACGAATTCTGTGTCCCTGATAACGATTCTGTGTCCCTCAGTAACGATTCTGTGTCCCTGAGTAACAATTCTGTGTCTGTCCCTGAGTAACAATTCTGTGTCCCTGAGTAACAATTCTGTGTCCTGTCCTGAGTAACAATTCTGTGTCCCTGAGTAACAATTCTATGTCCCTGAGTAACGATTCTGTGTCCCTGAGTAACAATTCTGTGTCCCTGAGTAACGATTCTGTGTCCCTCAGTAACAATTCTGTGTCCCTGAGTAACAATTCTGTCCCTGTAACAATTCTGTCCCTGAGTAACAATTCTGTGTCCCTGAGTAACAATTCTGTGTCCCTCAGTAACAATTCTGTGTCCCTGAGTAACAATTCTGTGTCCCTGAGTAACAATTCTGTGTCTGTCCCTGAGTAACAATTCTGTGTCCCTGAGTAACAATTCTGTGTCCCTGAGTAACAATTCTGTGTCCCTCAGTAACGATTCTGTGTCCCTCAGTAACAATTCTGTGTCCCCGAGTAACAATTCTGTGTCCCTGAGTAACAATTCTGTGTCTGTCCCTGAGTAACAATTCTGTGTCCCTGAGTAACAATTCTGTGTCCCTGAGTAACGATTCTGTGTCCCTAAGTAACGATTCTGTGTCCCTAAGTAACGATTCTGTGGCCCTAAAGTCTCTCTGGCCCTAACTCTGTCCCTAATACAGACAGGTCTGTCTCTCTTGAATGACCGGAGGCTAATGGAGAATTGTAAGATGGCCGCAATTTATAGCTCCACCATTACACAGTGCTGGCTGGCTGGCTGCTGATTGGCTAATGCGATCACATGTCATGAATGAATGCATTATGGGTCAGCGCGCCTTGTCTGCGCGCCTTCCCAGAGATCCCCGCTCCGTCGCCACACATGTCGCCGCCATTTTTGGGAAAATTCGATTCGTGCATCCGAAGTTTGCTAATTTTCGGATTCGGAGCAAATCGAATTTTTCCTGATCTTCGAAACGAATTCCACTTCGCCATGTTCGATTCGCTCATCTCTACCCCTGATACCTACAAGCAGTTACACAATGACATGAAGCTCATAGAACTACCTAGAGAGCTGAACTAGTAGTTCATTGAGAATGGCAAGTTGACAGCTACAAAGGCTGTCAGAACGTGTAGTTTTCCCATTCACAGAATACTGTGAATGAATGATGCAGCCAGGTGGGCGATTGGGGGGGAGGGGGGCCAGAGGCCAGAGCATCTTTAACTTGTTACATATTACACCCTGAACATGGGCGTAACATGTACAAAAGGTGAAGTTATCCTTTAAAAATTGCAGCAATTGTCACCAATAACAGTTACAAACACAGGCAATTGCAGGCAGATGAATGTGCCTGAAATAGTTCAAGTTTTTATAAATAAATGCAAACAACATGTTGTCTGTGTGTCTACCGTAATACCATATTTTGCTTTGTACAGGTATATTTTGTTTGATGGAGATGTGGATGCACTATGGGTGGAAAACATGAATTCAGTGATGGATGACAACAAGTTGTTGACCTTGGCAAATGGAGAGAGAATTAGACTTCAACCACACTGTGCTTTATTATTCGAGGTCTGAGCTATTTTCATCCTTTTATTGATTTTCATTATCCACAGTCGAGGACATGCTAGTACTGATAACTCACTGGGTGATTTCTTTAGGTTGGAGATTTGCAGTATGCATCACCTGCAACTGTGTCCCGATGTGGAATGGTCTTTGTTGATCCTAAAAATCTTAAATACAGACCCTTCTGGCAGAAGTGGGTCAGCAACAGGCAGAACAAGGTAAAAAAAGGATGTTGTTTTAGATGATCAAATTAATAATCATGATTCTAAATACAGGTACTTATATCATTTCCTTGTAATGTAATAACAACCAATCTGTAGTCCAATAACTGACATCCTCTACAATACCCTGTACAGTACTACTTGTACAGGGTACAGGTAGTACTGTACAGGGTGAATAAAAAGTCCCACTGCCATGAAATTTTGATAATGCTGTCACACATCATCAGCTCTATTGGTTGGAGAGGAGGGGAGTAGCTGTAGCCAAGATCTAGATTTCTAATTTCTTTACATGTATAGGACAGTTACAGACATGGGGGCTCCGAAAATTATGTTTATTTTTACTGATATCTAATTCTATTTTTTCTTTAATTATAATAGAGGGATGTTGCCACTGGAGATGCATATACTAGGAATAAGTAGAGGTTGTTCACTTAGCTAAGTTTATGTTTCTTTGTCAAAGTATGGATTCATTTAGACTTGCAGTTGGGGGGTGCCAAAAATGTGTGGTTAAGCCGCATTTTTGCCTCCTGCAAGCTGCCCTCCGTTAAGCTGCAATAAACAGTGGACTGTGATGTTTACATGCTTGCCTGCAGCAAAGTTCACCCGACATGTAGTGATCGGTGGGGCGGCAGTCCTGCCGAACGCTACACATTCAAGAGCTGCAACCACGTGCAATGCAATTATTTTCAAAAATGGGTTAAAAACAAGTGGTGAGGAGGCATCTCATCGCTTCCTCACTGCCTGTCAATAGCCTCTAGAGTGTGATCCGAACACGGATAGGGCTTTGGAGGCAAGGGAGATTTAGATACATGTCTAAATCTACTGGTAATATTAGTAAAAAAAAAATTTTAATTACCAAATCATGTGCGAGAGAGATTAAAAAAAAAAAAGAAGAAAAAAGAAACAGGATTTTTTCTAGCGCATAATTGGTTGATTAAAATGAGAACAGCTTAAACCTTTCTACCTAATCTGCAAACATTCACTTGGCTAAGTGAACAGTTTGTATTCCTTGATTAAATCAACCCCAGTGTATTACGGAATCCTTTAATAGCACATTCCGCTTTGATTGTAGATCTGTACATGTTTTTGCTTTTGTTTTGAAAACTGGAAGTTCTTGATTTTTTTATATAGGGAGTTACTTTTTTTATAGTGTGCTTACAAACATTTTCTTCTTTTATATTTATAGCAAGAGCAAGTGGAATTAAACCGCTTGTTTGAGAAATATGCCCCTCATTGTCTTGAAATGATTGTTGAAGGAATCATGGATGGGAAACAAGGAGAAAAATTAAAAAACAATCGTTCCTCAGACAGATCTAAACATGGTAATTACAAATGTTGCTTTTAGTACTTTATTCTTGAACCCCTGAAGTTTATGTTCAGTCAGGAATGGTGCCCATGTAATTGTCTTGTTGAAAATAAACCAAAAATGATCAGTAGACTGTGGACATTTACATAGATAGGTTAAGATAAAGTGGTTGTAAACCTCAGACCTGACAAACAGTATGAACGAAACATATCCCTCTATAGTGTGTACTTGTCTCAATTAAGAGCACTAAGTGTCATTTCTGTCTGCTGCTTTGTTCCTCGGCAATCAGCGTAAATCACTTCTGACAAATTTTACTGACACCAGGAGAAAAATGGCAACAGAGGAGGGATCTCCAGCAGAGTGACAGCCTCAGCTCTGTTCCTGTGAGCTGTGTGAAGGGGGGGGGGGGGTGTCTCTTCCCTCCAATCAATTCTCATAGCTCTCCTCACTGAGCTCTGCAGAGTGTGATCTCAGCTTTCCACCCCTTTTTGTGAACTCTCAGACAATCTCAAAAATTCTGGACTTTGAAGGGTTGTAGAGGAGAGAGGGCTGTAGATAGACAGGTACAACTTATGTAGGAGGATTTGTTTCATCTGTTTATCGCCTAAGACCAGTCATTTCTCTGAGTATTTGTAAGGGTTTGCAACCCTTACAGATATCTCTTGCTTAAAGTGGAAGGAAATTCATGTACCTAAATAATCCCCTGCAGTCATCAATGTAAGCTATGTTCAGTGTTATGTCCCAAAATGCTGTTTATATACCTTTATTTTGTGGTTTTCCCTGCCTGTCACATGACTACCATCCCTCTCCTTTCCAAGTCTAAGGACAGCTGGTGGGCATGTCTAGTAAGGTCTAGTAGTGACGTTGCCTGCTTCTTTGTAGTGGGTGTGTACAAGATGGGGGTAGCTGATCACATATCACCTGTCAGAGCTCTCTCATGAATGAGGACTATTGTGTATCTTTTTTCATGAGAAAAAAAAAAAAAGAAATAATATAAATAAATCATTTGCACAATCAGGATGGCAGAAGGTCAGGTGCACATATGCAGCGGTGCAGGGCTTTGAATCAGAACTGGCAGCGGGTGAAGGGAGCTGGATGCCAGGAAAGCTGTCAGTGTAGCCTGAACTGCTCTGGAGTGTCAGAACAAATCACAGTCCACAATGTCCACTGTTCCTTATGATCCAGGTGTCCACTCCAGATAAAGAAAGTAACTAGCTGCAAGGTTGGAGGCTCTGGTGGGAGGAGAAAGCCAAGAAGCCGATCACATCCTGCCTGCTGTGCAGAGTGCTACTGAATAGGAAGAAAAAAGCCACAGGCTGAGTACCAGCATGTACAAGGTCCGGTCCAGGAGTTGGATGACAAGTAGGCAATTAATCCTTTCTGGCTGTGCCCTGGAATCTGGATGCAGAGAGAGCTGTCACAGAAGGGCTGGAGGTGATGGAAGTGGAGAGATTGTGCTCCAGGAGAAAAAGTAGAGTGAAAATGGAATCCAACCATATCATATTTGGCTAGGCAACCTCTACTCATTTAAGTCAGCTGGCACAGGGAAGTGAGATCTAACAGCTGAGCACCAATCAATGTAAGAAGGTGGGATAGAGCATTTCCATTTGAGGAGGATTTCCCAACTGCCATAGTAGGATGTTTAGAACAACTGTAGTTTAGGATGCTTCGAAATAGAAAGGGAGTTGTAAAGACTTAACAACAGAACTAAAGGATCCAGGGTCAAAGATACCTTCTGTACCTTAGTCAATCTGGATGTGGATTCTTTTCAAAAATCCAAAATCTTAGGGCAGCTCTACACCATGTGATAAAATGTCCCATTGGTATTCTGGTATTTGTTGTAGAGTGGGGAGAGAGTAGAATCGGTGCAATTCTTTGATTCATTTTAAGGCTTAAACTGCCCATACTCACAGGAATCTGATCATGTGAAAATAAATTTCACATAGTCCCTTAGTTCATGCATGCACATTAACTATATAGTGCATTTTCTGTGACTTACCTTTGGTATCTATGAAGCAGAGATGTGCAGCTTATCGCTGATCACATGTTTGCTCAGTCGGCAGTAATCAAAAATATTTTATATATAAATTTTGGGATGATTATTCACAGTACTTTGAGTTATCGCTTATTTTATGGCATCAAGGACTCATTACTATCCAGTTGCTGTATCTCATCAATTTGATTCACACTGTATCTGAAATGCTTTCAGTGCTTGGCAATTTGACAGGCAAAACTCTGTCAGGGGTACTTCTTACTCCTTGTCCTTGGTGAGACCAACAACTGGACAGAAAGTGAAAGGAAAAAAAAGCTTTGGCCTGAGCTATAAGGAGAAAAATATGCATTATTTTAATTTCTCTACACTCTTTTTTTAATACATAATGCAGTGTCAATTAACCCATGGTCATTTAACCTGAATAAACTTGAAAGCATATCAATTCATATGTTATACGTTTGTGCTAAATGTTTCAGGTGACACAGCTGGCAATGATGCTGGATGCTTTAATAGAGAAGGAGATCGAGGATGTCAATGTGCTGGAATGCTTCTTTATAGAAGCTTTGTATTGTTCATTGGGAGCCACATTACTTGAGGGTGGAAGAATTAAATTTGATGAATATGTAAAGCGCTTAGCATCAATGTCAACAATTTATGATGAAAAGTCCCTGGCTGGGCCTGGAGAGCTTCCAGGTGAGTTTCAGCATACTGATCACTGCCACAAGGTAACTGTTCTAAATGAGCATATTAAAGGAAATTAACTTTTCTAATCTATTTGTGTATAGGTCAGCTGCCCACAATCTATGACTTTCATTTTGATGGTGAGAAAAAGAAATGGATACCTTGGAGCCAGTTGGTCCCAAAATATGTCCATAAATCAGAGGAGAAATTTATCGATATTTTAGGTGAGTTGAAGGCTCAGTAGTAAGCGAATATTTTGTCAGTCTACTTATAGTATCTCAGTCTACTTACAGTATACCAGCTTGTTCTACTGAATCAGATGCTCAGATACAATGTTTCTCATACATAAAAAGTGATAAAGGAGATAATTGTTGTTGCTAGGTGTCATTTTTTTCATTTTTGGTTGCTGCTGGTAAAAACACTTTTTCTTTTAAACACTTATTAAATAATGTATCTTCTGAATGGCTTGGAGTTCTAAGTGGTGTACCCCAAGGCTTTGTGTTGTCACCAATTCTGTTTAATTTGCTCATAAGTTATATTATGGTTGGTATAAATAATTCAGTCTCAATGTTTGCTGACGATACAGAGCTTAGCAGGATAATTACTTCATGGCAGGATATAGAATCTGTACAAGAAGACCTTGATAAAATAAAGGGGTCAGCAACTGTAAGGCAAACAAGGTTCAATGTTGCAAAATGTAACGTAATGCATGTGGGGGCTAACCTTTCTAATGCAAGTTACTCGCTAGGGGGAGAAACTCTCTGGAAATCCAGAATGGAAAAGGATCTGGGGGTCCTAGTAGACTCCACAATAGCATGCAATGCCAAGCAGCAGCAAACAATGAAAGCAGACTATTGTCATGCATTAAAAAGGGTATCTACCCAAAGAGATATATACTATAATTCTACCACTTTATAAAACTCTGGTTTGACCACATCAGTTATAAGGAGTGACTACAATAATTAAATGTAATCTCCCTGGAGAAGAGACACTTAAAAGGCGATATGATTGCAATATATAAGTATCTACTGTACATGGTGATTCTAGCATAGGGAGAAAACTATTCCGTCTCAGGTCGCTTAAGAAAACACATGGCCACTCAGTGAAGTTGGAGGATCTTAAATTGAGTTAGGGATTTTTACTGTTAGAGTGGTAGGGATTTCGATCTCCCTTCCAGCATTGGTGGTGTCAGCAAGGAGTGTCGATATTTTCAAAAACCTTTTAGATGGGTATCTTAGAGGACAAAATATACAGGGATATGGGAAATAGTAGTGACACAAACACATATGCATACACACACACCCACATAGGTCGAACTGGAGGGACTGGAGTCTTTCTTCAACCTTACCAACTATGATACTATGAAACTTTTTCATACAAAAGGCTCACTTGGCTTTTAGATTACAATTTCATCATCAGGTATACAGATCTGTATACCTGTATACCTTTCTTTTGTTGGTATTTGATCACCACTGGGTTTTTTATTTTTTGTGATATAAATGTAAAAAGACCACAAATTTTGAAAAAAAACCCTGATACTTTCTACTTTAGGTTATAAAAAATATCTAGTAAACTTAAAGTTAGTCATAAATTTAGGCCACAATGTATTCTGTTACATGTCTTTGGTAAAAAAAAAAAAATATCCCAGTACATGTATATCAATTTGTTAGTCTGACAGTTATAGCGTCTACAAACTATGGTATATATATTGGAATTTACAAAGCTTTTACTTTCTGACAGCCTATCACATTTCTTGAGGTGCTAAAATGCCATTTTTGGAAAGTAGACACCCCAAGGAATTTGCTGAGAGGCATGTTGAGTCCATGGAAGATTTTATTTTTTTGCTACAAATTTTTGGAAAATGATAAAAAAAATGTTTTTACACAAAGTTGTCATTTAAATGATATATTGATCATGCTTGCCATGGTTATATGTGGAATAACACCCCAAAACACATTCTGCTACTTCTCCCAAGTATGGGGATACCACATGTGAGATACTTTTGGGCAGCCTAGCTACATACAGGCCCCGAAGATCCAATGACCCCCTCCAGGCATTTAAAGGGCATATTTCCTCATGTCACCCGCCTCCCCAAATGACCCCTTTTTGGAAAGTAGACAACCCAGGGAATTTGATAAGAGGCATGGTGAGTATTTTGCAGATATCATTTTAGTCACAGGGTTTTGAAATAGAAAAAAGAAAAGAAGTTTTTTAAAAACTTGTGGCAGCAAACGGGATCTGCAAAACACTCACCATGCCCCCATAGAAAATATCTTATAATGTCTACTTTCCAAAAAGGGGTTATTTAGGGGGGTGTTTCTACTATCCTGGCATTTCAGGGCCAACATTAAAAGCTTATGCCACACATCACTCACTCTTCTAACCACTTGAAGACCAAGCCTTTTCTGACACTTTTTGTCTACATGAAAAAACTTCTTTTTTTAGAAAATTACTTTGAACCCCGAATCATTGTATATTTTTTTACACTTTGCATTGCATTACAATTAAGATTATTGCACCTGCAATGCAATGTTTGATTTGAACTGTCATGAATAGGTTAAGTTTATGACAGCTCAAAATACAGTGCTCTGTGATTGGCTCCAGCTGGTCACATGGTACAGGGTGCTGTGAATAGCCCCATGTATCATGTGAGAGCTGTGGGCCAATCACAACTCACCAGGAAGAGAAGCAGAACTGTTATGAATCAGACTGATTCATAACAGCTTTGTTGTCATTTTGATCACTTGACCACCAGCTATGTGATCACTTGATTACCGGGTCCCGTTCACCGGAATTTTCATTCAGCCATGTCCAGTGAACACAGCAGACGTTGCGGGGAGTGTTGCATGCCAACTTGGGAGCTCAGCATTTCCCTGTGTTGGAACAACAACAGAAATGTAAGGGTACGTCGCTGGTCCAGCAGCTGCCACCCGTCCACAGTACATTGCGGGCGGGTGGACGGAAAGTGGGTAAAATTGCATATGGAATGGCAACAAACTACAGTACTTAAAATTATCAATAGGCGATGCTTCACTATTCTTTACAGGTGACCAGTTTAGAGTTAAACAGGAGGTCTGGTGCTAGCATTAGTGCTCTTACTCTGATGTACATGATGATGCCTTATGTGTGTTGTGCGGTTTATTTGCTAAAGCTTGTTCACTCAGAATCTTGTACACCTGTGTATGGTAGCCAATCAGCTTCTAACCTCAGCTTGTTCAATTAAGCTTTAGTAATAAAACCTGGAAGCTGATTGGTTTTTATGCAGAAGTGCATGAGATTCTGCGTGAACCAACTAGTAAATAAACCCCAGGATCTACGTGCGTATTCACATTTGCACAGGGGGACAAGGGCGTTTGAATTTTGTGATATGTGATTATATCTATTGTATATTTTATACTAAGTCTATACTATCTGTATATATTAAACGTTAGCCTGAAAAAAAGCTTGTACCAAGTCAGAAACATTTTTTTATGTTTTCTAGTTCCCACTGTGGACACAACTCGCACCACATGGCTCTTGGAGCAAATGGTGAAAATTAAAAGGCCAGTAGTTCTTGTAGGGGAATCTGGGACATCAAAGACTGCAACTACTATGAACCTCCTAAGGAACCTGAACAGTGATAGCATGGTATGTTGTATTGTATAAATTATTGAATTGTCTGTGTTTTGCTGTGGATGATGTGTAAACATTACTGCAATAAAATGACATATAACCTCTCCTCCAACTGTGTCAGTTTACTCCATATTGGCATTATATGACCATTGACGTATGCTATGACCAAGTAAATATTTGGGCTGACCGGAAACTTTTACACAGTTAGCTAGCTACAACAAATATTACAATAGATGTGGGTCAAGAATGTCTTTTAATCAAATGTTTTCTAGACGTGCGGAGGGGTGTTTAATAGTATGCAGTAAGATTATTGGGACACTTAACTGTTCATACTATGAGGCTTAGTAGGACTCTTGGCTCAGGTGGCACTCTCTAGGGGTGGTTTAAGACTCGATTATTGTCTTTATTTTGTACTGTCTTCTTTTCATGATATAGTTAAATGTACATGGACAACTTTCATATATAGTATGCACACTTTATGTAACTGCGTACTGGACCAAGAACTGTCCACTGTAGTGGAGGAAGGCCTAACGTGGAAGGGATACATCATCTAAAGTGCTATGGGTAGAGATGCTTCTGCTACCAATTATATATATATATATTTTTTATATATGTTTGAAACATCTATTACGAAAAGCTTTGTTTTCTAATATTGAATTGATATATAACACACATACCCATCCTATATAATATAAATGTTGCATATCTAAAAATACTGTTGTTATTTTCTGTTACTATTGTTTCTCTGTTGCATATTCCTAATAGTTTACCCATTCATCTACAAATTGGCATACCTGAATCTGTTTTCTTGTCAGATGTTGCTGACTATCAATTTTTCCTCTCGTACCACATCAATGGACATCCAAAGGAATCTGGAAGCCAACGTAGAGAAACGTACAAAGGATAACTATGGGCCACCAATGGGAAAGCGACTTCTGGTGTTTATGGATGACATGAATATGCCCAAGGTTAAATTCTTTAACCACAATATTACTATATCTTGTAGAACAGTTGTTCTAGACCAGGGGTGGGCAAACTTTTTGACTTGAGGGCCGCAATGGGTTCATATATTGGACCCGGGGGCCGGACCAAGAGTAGATGAATGATGTGTATGTGTCATCCATAGTAAGTATAGTAATATTCCCCCATAGTAAGCATAGTAATTAATCCCCCATAGTAATTAATCCCCCATATAGTAATTAATCCCCCATATAGTAATTCATCCCCCATAGTAATTCATCCCCCATATAGTAATTCATCCCCCATAGTAATTCATCCCCCATATAGTAATTCGTCCCCCATATAGTAATTCGTCCCCCATATAGTAATTCGTCCCCCATAGTAATTCATCCCCCCTATAGTAATTCATCCCCCATAGTAATTCATCATCCCCCATATAGTAATTCATCCCCCATAGTAATTCATCCCCCATATAGTAATTCATCCCCCACATAGTAATTCATCCCCCATATTAATTCATCCCCCATATAGTAATTCATCCCCCATATAGTAAGTCCCCCATATAGTAATTTCATTCCCCATATAGTAAGTCCTCCATATAGTAATTCATTCCCCATATAGTAAGTCCCCCATATAGTAATTCATTCCCCATATAGTAAGTCCTCCATATAGTAATTCATTCCCCATATAGTAAGTCCTCCATATAGTAATTCATCCCCCATATAGTAAGTCCCCCATATAGTAATTCATTCCCCATATAGTAAGTCCCCCATATAGTAATTCATCCCCCATATAGTAAGTCCTCCATATAGTAATTCATCCCCCATATAGTAAAGTCCTCCATATAGTAATTCATTCCCCATATAGTAAGTCCCCCATATAGTAATTCATTCCCCATATAGTAAGTCCCCCATATAGTAATTCATTCCCCATATAGTAAGTCCCCCATATAGTAATTCATTCCCCATATAGTAAGTCCTCCATATAGTAATTAATTCCCCATATAGTAAGTCCCCCATATAGTAATTCATTCCCCATATAGTAATTCATTCCCCATATAGTAAGTCCCCCATATAGTAATTCATCCCCCATATAGTAAGTCCCCCCCCTGTGTCAATTCACTTACCTTTGGTCCGCGCGTTCCTCTCGTATTCCCGCGCCGTTCTGGTCTTCAGGGAGGACTGTGAGAGGAGTTCGTCACGCTGCCCCGCCTACATCCTGACAGCTGCAGAGTCCTGACGTCCGAGAGGAGGAGGAGGGGGGGCGGCCATCCGAGAGGAGAGGAGGGGAGGGGAGAGGAGGAGAGGAGGGAGGGGAGAGGAGGAGAGGAGGGAGGGGAGCGGGCGCCCGGCACACAGGAGAGCCGCATCTAAATTTGTAAAGAGCCGCGGCTTGCCGACCACTGGCCTTGCGGGAGCCTAGCTCCGCGGCCGGATTAAAAGGTCCGCCGGGCCGTATACGGCCCGCGGGCCGTAGTTTGCCCATTGCTGTTCTAGACCCTAGTCACTAAACACCTATGATGGCAAGACCTCCTCTTTCAAACCAGAATATAATTTGCCATTAACAAAAAAGAAAATCCTGAATATTTTAGAGATCCTTTGTAAATGCAGCTTATGTTTTGCATGTGTTGTTCCTGTAATTGTTGACATTATTATGCCACTGTATCTGCCAAGAGAAAATGATTTTATATTTTCCTACGATAAGAGTTGTAGTCAACAAATGCCCATACTTATTTTATATTATATTTAAAACTGAAACTGAATTTACTTACATACAGGTTGACGAATATGGAACCCAGCAGCCAATTGCCCTCCTTAAGCTTTTGCTGGAGAAGGGAGGCATGTATGATCGTGGGAAAGAACTTAACTGCAAGTTCCTTCGGGATCTTGGATTTATAGCGGCAATGGGAAAGGCTGGTGGTGGCCGAAATGAAGTGGATACAAGATTTATTTCCCTTTTTAGTGTATTTAATGTGCTTTTTCCTTCAGAAGAGTCTCTGCAACACATTTACTACTCCATCTTACAAGGGCACACTGCGGTAATTCATATTTTTATCACTTGATCAATAACTATTTAATCATTAAATGCATTTTAAAGTGTATCTAAATGCTCACAAATTTACTGTATATTCCAGTTTGCCAGTGTTTGGAAGTGGTGGACTCATTAGTTTTCTTTAGGCTTTGTCTTAGAGTGACACCACTCACCCACTGTACTGCATCTTTAAAAGAGCAGTGTTGTCACCCTAGGCTGCTTGCTCTTAATTTGGACCACAGAACAACTCCCTCTCACCTCATCTCCAGAACATACTGGAGGTGTTCTGTAGTCCACAAAGAGAATTGAACATGACTGATAACATTGCTTGCGATTTCAGCTCACTTCAGGACGTTAACCACTAGATCACTGCCAGGATGAATAACTATTTTTTCAGTGGTATGAGTTCATTGTTAGGGATTGCATACTTTTTATTTAAAGTAAGGACTAGGCATCAATGCAGAAAACAATGATATTACTACCAGTAAGCATATTAAAAGTTTAAAGGCATTCAAAGTTTAGCATTCTACAAAGTTCCTAGAGCACTGTATAATTGTTAAAAAATACTGTTTTATAAAGGTACCCACACGCATTAGATATTTTCCCTGCAAGGCTATTTATGGTGACTGATCTAATAACTGAAGGTAGCTTAAACGGATCATGCAGTAAAATGCAAGGTCCTCATATTACATCAGGGCCTCCTTCCCCTGTAAAAGAAGTTTGATACCTTGTTTTGCGACATTACCCTCCTTCCTAGGAGACCTCAGGAATGATAGGGAATAATAGGGATCCAAAATAATGCAAAAGAGAGATGCTCCTGCACTGGACTGTAGTGTCTTCTTGCGAGATTTGAGGTACTCATCATTTCCCAGGAATCTCCCAAGGAGGATAGTTACATCACATCAGGTCTCGCATTGTGGTACATTTTTCAAATACTATCACATTGAGATTTTTACAGGAGAGGGACGGAGCCAATATCTAACAAGCAAGCCTTGTATTTACTTCAAGGTCTGTTTTTTTAAATTAAATCTTTTATTAACCTGTTTATTAAACTGTTTTTTCAGTACAAAAACATGACAAAATATAATTTTCATACAAATATTTCCCCTGAACTTTGCATTCCAACCTCCCTACTAACCCCCTGCCCCTCGCCCAATCCCTCCTACAACTTGCCCTGGTCCATATAGCTCTTCCCTTCTCTTTCCAACTATCCAGTCCATACCTATAATCTTTCTCCTCCGTCTTCACTTCCAACTTCCTTTTTTTACTATTCTTTCTCTCTAACCTTTCTTTTCCCTTCTCCTATTCCTGCTACAGTCTTTCAAAACATTCCCTTTTTTTTCTCCTACCTCACATCAGAACCATGGGCCTCCGACTACTTCCATATATTTTCCGGATGCCTTGAAGTCAGACCATCTTCCCCATTCCTTTCTAAATTTACCCATATTACCTTTGTCTATATGGTATAACTGCTCCATCTTCTTTATATATTCCACCCTGTCTAACCAGTCCCTCATTGTTGGAAGTTTCTGTACCTGCCGAAATTTAGGAATAAGCCCTTTAGCCGCACTAATTAGATGGTATAATACACTATTTTTATACCGCTTCACTGGTAACTCTGTCCTGTAAAATAAACACACCCACGGATCCTCATGTATAGTTGTCCCCAGTATCGCTTGTATAAACTGGATTACATCTTGCCAAAACCCCTGTATTTTTGGACTGTCCCTCCATATGTGTGCCATTGTTCCCTTGGCTCCACATCCCGTCCAACATAATGGTGAGACTTTTACTCATTGTTTATGTGCAACACTCGGTGTCAAATACCACCTCCCCAAACATTTAGAATTCATCTCAACTGTGTTTATGTTGACCACCCCATGTGCTAATTAAAACATTTTAATTTTTCTGTGAATCATTCATATTTGTTCCCAGTTCCCTTTCCCATTTCTCTAAGAACAGCGGAAGACCCAATTCAACAAGAATCTTATATATCCCAGAAGTAACATGTTTTGGAGCCGTACTGGTACCCGACATCTTTTCAAGTGGGAGCATGTCCTCCGTCATCCTCAGTGGCTTCGCAACAAAATGTCTTAATTGATAATATCTCAGTTCATCTAATGCCAGAAATAACTATTTTTTTTACTCTTTAAATCTTGAAAAGTGCCCAACTTCCCTTTAACTACTATATATCCCCCAAACGTGCATCTACATCTTTAAACCATTTCCCCAAAATATTATCCTTCCCCGGTGGGAAAAACTCAGTACCCACTAGGGGAATCAACAGTGAATTTTACATCCAATCCGTTTGCTTGTGCAATCTATCCCATACTCTTAATACCTCCTGTGTCAATGTACTACTAGTCTCATCCATAATACAAAACTTTTGTGGTATCCAGATGTCCTCTCTAATCGTGCATTACTTAATATACTTTCTATTTTAACCCAACTTTTCCCCTGTGAATTATATGTCCAATCTACAATTTGTGACAGTATCACGTCCATATAATAATTCTTAATACTGGGCAGATTTTAATCCTCCTTTCTCTTTCTTATTATACAGAACTTCATACCTAATTCTCAGTTTCTTATTAGCCCATATATATTTAATTATTAGTTTTTTTTATTATCCCAAAGAAAGATCCTGGGATATGGACTGGGAGCATGTAGAATTTATATAGGATTTTTGGGACTATCACCATCTTGACCAAGTTTATACACCCGATCCAAGAGACCCTTCCCCTTGAGAGTCTTCTCAACTTATCTTTTATTTCATTTATTAATAGAATATAGTTTACCCGGTATATATTTTTTATAGAAGGAGTCAACTTTTCACCTAGGTAACCTAATTCCTTCTTCCTCCATGAAAATGGGAAATCTTTTTGCAAGGTCAGCATCACATTCTTTGAAACATTAATGTTCAAGATCTCTGATTTTGAGGGGTTTATTTTCAAGTTTAAAAGCTCTCCGTACCCTTTTAGTAATCCCATTAGGTTAGATAACGTTAGCCCAGGTTTCACAGTATAAAACAGCATATCATCAGCATATGCTGCTATCTTATGCTCTGTCTCACCTATCTTGATTCCTCTGATATCTACACTCTTTCTTATTGTCTCCAGCAAAGGTTCCAGGCATATAACAAATAGTAACGGGAATAAGGGGCATCCCTGTCTTGTACCATTGTACATCTTAAAAAACCTTGAGAGGGACCCATTTACCTTAACCGCCACTGACGGACTGTTATAGAGCTCCTTTATCCAACTCATCATATTAATCCCTATTCCGAAGGCCTCTAGGGTATTTATCATAAACCCCCAATCTACCCTGTCAAAAGCTTTCTCAGCGTTGATCGACAATAAAATTGTTGGTAACTTTTCTCTCTTTGCCTTCTGTGAAAGAAGCAATGTTCTTAGACCATTATCCCTCCCTTCCCTTCCTGGGACAAAACCCACTTGATCTACATGTATCCATTCCGGCATCAGCTCTTTTAACCTCGTAGCTAGCACCTTTGCAAACAGTTTTATATCTGTATTTAGTAGTGATATAGGTCTATAGCTAGCGCATTGTGAACTATCCTTTCCTTTTTTTGAAATGATCTTTATATACACTTGCAGTGATTGTTCTCTTATTCCCATTCCCTCTCCTAAGTTGTTCATATATGTACAAAATTTGGGGACCAATAAGTCTCCAAACATCTTATAATATCCCACCGTATACCCGTCGGGTCCTGGGCTCTTCCCTCCTGCTGTAGTCTTGAGGGCCATGTTAATTTGGTCTGCTGCCTTTAGAAATTCCTGCCGTGTTTCCCTCTTTTCTTCCTAGCTTTCGGGTTCTTAGGTTTTACATCATACAGCCTGCTATAAAATTTTTGGAATGTTTCAGCAATATCAGTGGTGGAGCAAACCATTTATCCTTTTTCATCTTTATATTTTCAATATAATTTTTTTATTTTTTCTCAAGTCTTTTCATCAAATATTTTCCTGGTTTACTCCTCCACTCATATCTTTCCTTTGAAACCCTATTGAAGATCTTCCTTGCTTCCTATTCCAATAGGTCATTTAACTCTTCTAATTTAAGCATAATCTTCAAATAGACCTCTGTATCCTGTCTCTTTTTATGTGCCTGTACTAATCTGTATAACTCCTCTGTCACCTCCTTTATTTTTCTCTCACTGTCTTTCTTTTTTTTAGTTCCTGCAGATATCAGGATTCCTCTCACATGCACCTTATGTACTTCCCAAATGGTGGCTACAGAGACTTCCTCAGTTTCATTTAACAAAAAAAAATAGCTCTATTTCTTCTCTTAGCCTCCTTTCTACTTCAGGGTCCCGTATAGGCATCTCATTTAGTCTCCACGTTGCCTTTTTGTTCCCTTCTCCTCCCACCTTTAATCTCTCCATAACAGGAGCATGGTCTGAGATAGACGTAACTTCCTTTTTAGATTTAATCAATTAATCTAATTGTCTATGCTCAACCACAATATAATCCAACCGTGAGTATGATCTATGCACCAGGGAGAAGAAGGTATGATCTTTTTCTCTGGGGTGTTTCACCCTCCATGCGTCTATTAGCTGACTTTTGATGTAACCTCTTTTTCAACATTCTTAGTTTTTTACTTCCTCCTCTCTGCGCATTCAAAGACGTATCCATCCATGGATCAAGACAAAAATTCAAATCTCCTGCCTAGACCAGAATCCCCCTCCTAATCTCCATAATATTCCCCAACACTCCATACTTCTGGATTTTGATTCGGGCAATAGATATTAACCAAGGTATAGCTTTGTCCCTGCATTTTCCCTCTTAAGCATAGAAACTGTCCCTCTGGGTCTACCAATCTCTCCTCCACATCAAAACTCACGTTTTTTGAGAACCCGATTGCTGCTTCTTTAGCCCTCTTTATCGGTGAGTCCGCGTAATACCAGGTTCGGTAGTACCCTGAGTGTAACTTTACCATAGTATCATATGATAAATGTGTCTCCTGTAAGAACACAACGTCTGCAGAGAGTTGGTGAACTTCCCTGAGTATCTTATGTCTTTTGGTAGGAGAATTTAAGCCTTTCACATTATATGTCGTTAAATTAATCAGGCTCATAGCTGTCTAGTGTTTCTGTTCTCTTTATTGTTCAAAGGGAAAGCGGTATAGACTACCCATCTCATGGACCTTCCACCAACCCTGCCCCTCCCACGTCCCCTCCATACCACCACTCCCCCTCCCCCCTACTAAAAACCCCTTGGCCTGTATATTGCCCTGGAATCTGATGTGGGATTCCCCTACTAGTGATTCCTAAATTGGGGTAATACTCTGAACATGAACACCTACTCCTACCCCCTGCCCTCAACATAGGGCTTAAGTGTTTAATATCCTGTTTGGCCTCCCGACGCCCCGCCAACTCTACTTTTTTCCCCCAAAGACCTACTGGGAACATAGGGGAGGTGGGGAGGAGGAGAGAGGGAGAGAAAAAAAAAAGGGGGAAAGTGGGGGACAACAATTCATCCCCCGGAGCCCCCTATCCCTCTCCTACCAGCAAGGCCTGTTTTACAGAACAATTTAGAACTCTTCAGCGTGGTGCGTTGCAGAACGGTGCATTTTATTTTCATTAGCATGTTGTAATGCTAATCATTAAACTATAAACTGTGTTTGGTTAATTGTCTACCCTATACAGCTATTCAATGAAGATGTTCAGGCCATCTGTGACAAGCTGACTTTATGCACCTTGGAGTTATATAAAATGATTGTCCGGGACCTTCCTCCAACCCCTTCAAAGTTCCATTATATATTTAATCTCCGGGACCTTTCCCGAGTATTTCACGGACTGGTTCTTACTACCCCAGAAAGGTAAAGTTTCCGTATCATATTTCATATGTTAAACTAGCCATTTAATGGAAGTAAATGGTTGGCAAAAACTATTAAAAGATATATATTTTGTATTTGTAACCCTTACATATGTGTACATGCTGGCTTATTCCTGCTTTACATTGAAAAGAACAGACATTTACACAGATGTTTTGGTACAGTTGTGATTGGTAGTCATCCTTATGTCATGCAGTTCCCAGTTGTTTGTATGTGGGTCCATCTTCCCACTTGCAGTTAAGCTCAGAACTGAATGAACAAATCCCTAACCACCATCTTCTAATATTTCTTGATAGTTCAACAGCAAAATGCATGTTCATTACTGTAAGTGCTGCTTTCCTCCCAGCAATCTCAGTTATTGTGAAAAAAAGAGAAGAATTATGCATATAATAGTTTTAAAAAGTTGAATGTAAAAACATAATATAGCAAGGCCTCGATAAAGGTGGGCTGTGAACCTCCAAAACATCAGTGAATAAAAGCCTTTTTGGATGACATATGTAAAGTATGTGAGTGCCCTACATCCATGTATTGGACATTTATTTAGTGTGCACTCAGGACCTTTCAATTTTGTGTGTCTGGAGACAAACCATTGTTTATTTCTGGATATATATAATGCTGATTGTACTATTTATATTTTGGTTCGGATTGCAGATTCCAGACAGTGAACCAGATGGTGAGAGTCTGGAGGAATGAAGCTTTACGGGTTTTCCATGATAGACTAATCAATGAAGATGACAAGAGAGTGGTAGGTGAACATGAATAATTGTGGATTCATGTTGTAATGAACATTTGTAATAAGGAGAGTCCACATACTCAAAATACACATCACCATGTTTATTGATAAACCATTTCTTATAGTCACCAAACTAAAATCTCTTTAAACATGTTTTAAGTTTCAGTAAAAAATGATTGTAAGGCTGGTGTATTTCCCCATTTTGGGATTAGTATTTATACATTGGATACACAACTGATACCTCAACAATCTATGGTGAAGGTAGTCTTGTAATCTGTCTACATGTATCTGTTTTTGAAATGTTGGTTTTGACAATTTTGTACACGTGAACTGCCATATTCATGATTTTACTTAAAGTGGAGTTCCAGTCACACTGAAAAAATAAAAGTCAGCAGCTACAAAAACTGTAGCTGCTGACTTTTAAGAAACTGACTTTTAAAAAAACAGCCACTCACCTGTCCCTTGATCCCATGGTGTCCTCCCCGCAGCCCGTTTTACTGACCGTCCAGAGTTCCTGGTGCTGACATGTTCAGTGTGGGTACCTGGCTGTGACAGCTTGTGGCTTCACAGCCGGGTGCCCACTGCGCATGCGCAAGTAGCACTGCGCTTTCTGAATGGTCCTGTAGTCTTCTGGGACCTGTCACGTGTCCCAGAAGACTATGTGGAGGGAGGGCTGGAGGACAACCTCCGCTTCCGATCATCAAGGCTAATAGCAGTGGAAGTGGGAGTGGGTACCTGTCAATTTAGGGTACCTGCTCCCTAAAGGTGCCAATCCTTAATGGGGAGTGGGGGGAACCAGTCTTTAAAGTGGAACTTCTCCTTTTGTGTGGAGCCCTGCTTTAACATGAAGATCTGTCAGTTGTTTTTTTAGTTTGGTATGTGAAAGATAATGAAAATGACATGCTTGTTAAATGATGGTTTAGATAAAATCTGTTAAAATGTAAGCCACTTTGAGAATTTATTGTGTTCAGTCTAAACTGACCGGTAGACTTCCATTGAGGTAAGAGAAGCCACTGTGTTTTTGAACTACCCAGGAGGCACAATATATGTGTGTGTCAAACAATTATGGTCACCCTCATATACACTATATTGCCAAAGGTATTGGGGCGCCTGCCTTTACACGCACATGAACTTTAACATCTTTCCGTCCGCCCTCTAGCAGAAATACTGCTACAGGGTGGGACGGGTGTGCAAAATCAAATCATATATATGTGATTTTGCATTCCCGGCTAGGGGGCGTTTCTGAGCCACTGTATTGGTGTTACTGGGGATGTCAGTGACACCAAGTAAGTTCCCCCCAGTGTAAGAATGTCTGCCACAGTCCTGCTATAAGTCGCTGATCGCTGCCATTACTAGTAAAAATTTTAAATGAAAAAAAAAAAGTATATATACCGCCATTTGTAAACGCTATGACTTTCACATAAACCAATTAATTTACATGTATTTGGATTTTTTTTTAGCAACGACATGTAGCAGAATACAATTTGGTGTAATTTTTGACAAAATTAGATTTTTTAAATTGTTTTACTGGACATGTTTAATAGCAAAAAGTCAAAAATATAGTTTTTTTTCTCAAATTGTCAGACTTTTTTTTTTATAGCGCGAAAAATAAAAAAGGCACAGGTGATCAAATACCACCAAAAGAAAGCTCAATTTGTGGGGAAAAAAGGATATAAATTTAATTTGGGTTCAGCGGTGAATGACCGCGCAATTGTCAGTTAAAGTAATGCAGCGCCTTAACACAAAAAATGCCCTTGTCAAGAAGGGGGGTAAATCCTCAGAAGGGCAAGTGGTATCCCAGTCTTAGTGGTATCCCAGTCTGTAGGGTTCAATGTTGAGTTGGCCTGCCCTTTGCAGCTATATCAGCTTCAACTCTTCTGGGAAGTCTGTTCACAAGGTTTAGGAGTGTGTCTATGGGAATGTTTGACGGTTTTTCCAGAAGCAGATTTGTGAGGTCAGGCACTGATGTCGGACCAGAAGGCCTGGCTCGCAGTCTACGCTCTAATTCATCCCAAAGGTGTTCTGTCGGGTTGAGGTCAGGACTCTGTGCAGACCAGTCAAGTTCCTCCACCCCAAACTCACTCATCAATGTCTTTATGGACCTTTCTTTGCACACTGGTGTGTAGTCATGTTGGAACAAGAAGGGGCCATCCCTGAACTGTTCCCATGAAGTTGGGGGCATGAAATTGCCCAAAATGTCTTGGTATGCTGACTCCTTAAGAGTTCCCTTCACTGGAACTAAGGGGCCAAGCCAAACCCCTGAAAAACAACCCCACACCATAATCCCCTTCCACTAAACTTTACACTTGGCACAATGCAGTCAGGCAAGTACCGTTCTCCTGGCAACCGCTGATCCTAGACATGTCCATCAGATTGCCAGACAGAGGAGCGTGATTCGTCACTTTAGAGAACATGTCTCCATTACTCTAGAGTCCAGTGGCGGTGTGCTTTACACCACTGCATCCGACGTTTTGGATTGCACTTGGTGATGTAAGGCTTGGCTGCAGCTGCTCGGCCATGGAAACTCATTCCATGAAGCTCACTATGCACTGTTGTTGTAATAATCTGAAGGCCACATGAAGTTTGGAGGTCTTTAGCTACTGACTATGCAGTTGGCAACTTCTGCGCACTGTGCGGTTCAGCATTTGCTGACCCCGCTCTGTCATTTTACATGGCCTACCACTTCATGGTTGAGTTGCTGTTGTTCCCATTTGCTTCCACTTTGTTATAATACCACTAGCAGTTGACCATGTAATATTTAGTAACAAGGAAATTTCACGGATGGACTTATTGCACAGGTGGCAACCTATCACGGTACCACGCTTGAATTTGCTGGGCTCCTGAGAGCAACCCATTCTTTCACAAATGTTTGTAGAAGCAGTCTGCATTCCTAGGTGCTTGAATCTATATACCTGTGGCTATGGAGGTGATGGGAACACCTGAATCCAATGATTTTTGGGGGTGTCCCTATACTTTTGGCAATATAGTGTACATACACATTATACATACTGTTAGAAATTCTGTATATAGCCCTAAAGAACAGAAAAATTATAGCAAATCGGTAAGGACTTTTAAAGAAAAATACCACATTTACCTATATGCCTGAAGGAACTTTAAAGACCTCATAAACTTCTTTTATGTGACAGATAGATGCATTTGTTGGTATTCATGTGTTCTGGAAGCAGAGTACTGGAAGCAGAAGAGCATGCAGTTTAATTACAGGGGAGTGTATCTTAGCAATGGGAAGAGCAAAACGTTTAATCTCCACTTGAGCGATGATTACTATGTAGGCCTAGGTCTTGGGGTGCTAGAACCTAGGCTGGAGTAAGCCTTGCTGGGACTAATGTACTTCCCTTGCTGATTGTTATTAACTTTTTCATGATAATAATTTGTGTCCTAGGATATAGGCAGAATTAGTTGACCATGTCCAATTTATATACCTAGAAGTAAACAGTGGGGCATCATTCCTAACACCAAGAGATTGCAGAAATTAACAAGAACAAAATCAAATATAAAATTGATGCAAAATGGAAGACCGCACCAAATAGCTGAAAGCATAAGACTAGTTTTAATGGCATGCATGCCAAGAAACATACTATGAAATATAATATTCCAAATACCATCATTATGTTACATGTTTTTGCCAAGTGTTAGGTGAGAAACTTGTATACTGCAGCACACAGAGGTGTAGGAGCAGAGGTAGTACAGGTATCTGTTGTAACTGGAGAGGGAACATATTGTGCATGGTATAAAAAGTTAAAGAAATTAAAGTGGTTACTGTGGTAAGAGGTGTAGACTCAGTAATTAAAGGATTGAGCTAGTTAGCTGCAGAGAGATCTTGCTAAACTCAAGACTCTATTTTTCACATGACTGAAATATATCAAGCTACACCCTTAACAGTGCATGTTACATACATTTGTGGCCTGTAAAATTACTGCAGCTACACCATGAGTTTCACATGCACATGTCTGCTAATACATATTTCCATAGAGCTCTGATATTTTCAATCATATTATGTATAATAAAAATTAACATTGTATTTTACAGTCATGGCCAAAAATATTGGATTATTTCTTACAATTTTGAAAAGGTGCCAATAATTTTGCCCAGTCCATTTTGGGGGTTTTGCGTGGAATGTGTTAGATTTGGCTTTTTGTTTTTCTACTTGTTTGTGTCATACCAATACAAGCAAATGAGAATGTCTAAACATTTGTATTTGCAACAATTTTCTAGGCGAAGTGGTGCATTATCTGATAGAAATGCAGGGGTGCCAATATTTTTTGCCATGACTGTACTTGTCAAATCCCTTCTGCATTTTGTTTAGCAGTAAATGCATTTGTTTAAAAAAAAAACTGTTTAAAAAATGCATTATAACCTGACACTACCATACATGGAGTATCCTAACTTTTTATCCAACAAGGTCCAAGGCCACATTCAAAGTTTAATAGACGAACACTTCAAAGCTGACTTAGAGTATGCCATGAGGGACCCAATCCTTTTTGGTGACTACAGAACTGCAATGAATGAAGGTGAACCACGAGTATATGAAGACATTCAGGATTATGATGCAGCTAAAGCTCTCTTTCAGGTAAGATAGCTTGAATTAATAAACATAGATAATAAAATACTAAGTTGGTTATATGTTATATTCACATGCAATGTAGTTATTATTATTATACAGTATTTATATAGCGCTAAAAGGTTTGCTCAGCGCTGTACATTATAGTGGGGGACAGTACATGAGACAATACAGTAACAATACAATACACGAGGGGGTCAAGGGCCCTGCTCTTTCAAGCTTACAATCTAGGAGGGAGGGGATAGTGGTACAGGAGGAAGTGGCTGTGGGGGATGGAGTGGTAGGAGGAGATCGGCTGTTAGGTGAGGGCGGGGTAGGCTTCCCTGAAGAGATGGGTTTTCAGGGTGCGCCTAAAGGTGAGGAGGGTAGGTGACAGTCTGATGGATTGGGGTAGTGAGATCCAGAGGATGGGGGAAGTCCTAGAGAAGTCCTACAGTTGGGCGTGGGAGGTGGAGACCAGGGAGCTAGAAAGTAGGAGGTCTTGTGAGGAGCGAAGAGTACGGGTTGGGTGGTATTTGGGTATCAGGTCGGTGAGGTAGTTTGGGGCAGCGTTATGAATGGCTTTGTATGTCTGTGTTAGTAGTTTGAATTTAATGCGTTGGGCAATCGGGAGCTAGTGGAGGGAATGACAGAGGGGGGTTGCAGATGCGGAGCAGTTGGTAAGGTGGATGAGTCTGGCCGCTGAGTTCAGGATAAACTGAAGTGGGAATAGTCTTCAACGAGGTAGGCCGGTGAGAAGGGAGTTGCAGTAGTCCAGACGTGAGATAATAATAAGGGAGTGAACGAGTTGTTTAGTGGTGTCTGGGGTTAGGAACGAACGTATTTTGGAGATATTGTGGAGGTGGAGCCTGCATGAGTTTGCCAACGATTGGACATGGGGTTGGAAGGACAGGTTTGAGTCTAGAGTGACACCTAGGACTTTGGCTTGTGGGGTGGGACTGATGGTGGCGTTGTTGGTCATGATGGAAAGGGTGGGAGGGAGGGGGGCACGGGCTGGGGGGAAATTCAGGAGCTTGGTTTTGAAAATGTTCAATTTGAGGAAATGTAATAATTTTAATCTCGCAGTAATCACAGAGTGGATGTGGTGTATCGTGGCTGCTCCTAGGTTCAGGTAAAGGCTAGGGTCACCTTTACAAAAAAAAAAAAAAATATCATCTTTTTGCAGAAAAAAAAGTGTGTATTTAATTTTTTTTTGGTGGCTCAATGTCAGGCTCCAGCACCGTCTTCCTGTAGCTTTGTGACCGTATCCCCTTACAGGCTTTCTGTTACAAAGCTAGAGGAAGAGTGAATTAAGAGTGATAGCTGATCAGTGGCTCACAATTCATTGAAACTAAAAGTCTGTCTGCTCTGGTGGTAAATGGGACTTTAGTTTTTTTCATTCACAGATCACTGTGAATGAATGACTCTGCTGTGTTGATGTAGCCCCGCACAGCCACACAGTTTTCAAAATGTGACAGTGGGTGTGAGGAAAGGAACTCCCTCCTGCTGTCACAAGAGGGGTGAAGAGTGGAGGGGGGGTGCTTTTTGGTAACATGTTACATGTTGCACCCTAAATACAGATGTAACATATTACTAAAGGTGAACTTATCCTTTAATGATATTTTGCAGACCGGTATCCTTGGGAATTTCTTGCCATTGAAGTCAAATTGTTCTTCTTTGTGCAGAAAAAAAGTTTTCCTTTCTGATACTCAGACCACATGAAATCATGTGCAATGCTTACAATTAGCAGAGCAAACATGTCTTCAAGGATATATTTGGCAACCTAAGATCATACCTGTTCCATTATATGATAGCTGTATGTTTGCTTAATTTCATGTGTGAACTGTAACTTCACAACTACTTCAGAGTTGTTTTAAATAATTACTGTTGTTGTTTCCAGGAAATCCTTGAGGAGTACAATGAAAGTAAGACCAAAATGAACTTGGTTCTATTTGATGATGCACTTGAACATTTGACTCGAATACACCGAATAATAAGGATGGATCGAGGTCATGCTCTGCTGGTTGGTGTAGGAGGGTCAGGGAAGCAATCTCTTGCTCGACTAGCTGCCTTTGCTGCTGGATATGAGGTTTGCTTAAATAACTGTGATATATCGGGTAAATTTCTCCTTCTGTCATGCAACATTGATCAAAAAATATTATGTCATCCGATTAGGTGTTTGAAATTGTTCTGAGCCGGGGATATGGAGAAAACAGTTTCCGTGAAGATCTGAAGAATCTTTACATTAAACTCGGTCTAGAAAATAAGAAAATGATTTTTCTGTTTACTGATGCTCATGTGGCTGAAGAAGGATTTCTCGAACTTGTCAACAACATGTTAACATCAGGTGTGCCCAACCACTTTTCTCATGTTCATATATTTTAAAGCAGTGCCCATTACGCATCTTATTGTGCATCTGATAATCCATGTCGGAATGATTAGATTTAAAAATGTATCTAAACTCAAGGACAGAAAATGAGTATCTTGCAGCTTTCCAGTTCTGAGATACAGTGGCTAATTTTTTTTTTCTTTTCAGGCATTTTCTGCTATCAAACAGACATAACAAAACCCTTTCCATTGTTAATTTAACAGACAAAAAGAGAGCAAATAATAGAAGTTCATTGCTACAGTTTGCATACACTTTAAACTGCATTTAGTTTTTTCTGCGAGTATGTATTATAAGACATTTAAACTGCAGCTGCATGTGGCAAATAAAGTCAATTGATGAACTTCTGTAGTTGTTCTATAGTTATTCAACAACTGTGTCAAAGACTACCTCACTTTAATTAAAATGAAGTACAATAAAAAGCATGATTTCCCCAGAGCTACTGGACAGTGGGATCCTTCTTTCCTCATGCTGCTGTGAAATTTTCCCTTGTGTGGTCGAGCCTACAGTAGCAAAGAGAGAGGCGATACTTTGAACTAATGAACACCATGCTGCACATTTACAGGCTGTCATTCAGGGAAGACAAAGAAAAGAAAATTCACAAGGGAAGAATGTCACCAGCACACCAAGGTTCTCCAGTATGGGTCCGAAACTTTAGTAAGCAATCACATAGTTATAGCAAGAGCAACGTTTCGTTGTCTCGCAGGACCCCTTCATCAGGCATGTGACGTCACATGCCAGATGAAGGGGTCCTGCTAGATTTCGAAACGTTGATCTTGCTGTAACTATGTGATTGCTTATTAAGGCTTTGGACCCATATTGGAGAACCTTGGTGTGCTGGTGACATTCTTCCCTTGTGATGCTTCTTGGTTCCAGCCGGTGGTCACTGCACCACCCACTTACATGCATAGCCACTCTTTGATGCAGGAACATGTGCGTTGGGTGTGTAATTTTGAGAGAAAAGAAGTGGGCGCACCAACCTAGTTCATTATCTTCAAGGCTTCACTTTATTGATAAAAACGTAGTAATATACTCACGAACCAACTGACATGTCATGGCTTGTCATAATACAACTGCAAGTTGCAGGAACATAACAACTGGTGATGAAGCATGCAAAGATCCAACTGCCACGTTTTGAGGCCTTGCCTCTTCCTCAGAGCCATAACGGGCTATACTGGGTGCCCAGCCAGGTGTACCTGGCTGGGGAGTCGACATCACTAGGTTGGGCGCCCCCTGTCTTTCTAGTATCCATAGACGTCCCCAGTCTTTGAGAGGGTAGCAAGGCGTGACTTATCTGGCAGATCCAAGAGTGAAGTCTAGCCAATTATGATTTGGATTCACTTCTGAGAAAACTGTGTGGATGTATTCACTTTGTGTTTTCTCATCATTCAGGGAAATCAGTAGATGGGGATACTGAACATGGTGAATGCCAGGATCAAAATTAGTGACATTAAAGTGTTAGACTGTGTCCAGATGTTAAAGGTACACATCTGTCAAAGTTTCATATTGGACTTTAATGTACCTTTAACATGTTGCTCCTCTTTGCAGAATAAGGTTATGCGGTTGTCATTATAAGTTATATTCTGGATGCCACTGACATAAAATAGACCCATTCTTTCTGCACATTATTGTGAGCCTGAAAGGGACCAGTGAGGGGCTCAATTATTTAAAATGATAAACAAATGTAATTTGTACAAAAAAGTAATATACAGCACTCATACAAAAGACCTGATGATTTGAATGCCTTTTTAAACATTTAAATTAAACAATTGATTATTTTGATTGCTAACATTACAGTTTACATTTCATTACATTTTATCATGTGCCATTGTGTACAGTGGTGGAGCATAAGTTACATTCTTAGGGTCTTTGGCTTTATATGAAAATTGGACATTATAATAAGCAAAATGATTACAGTATTAACAATAATTTAACCAGGCATTTTCTGTAACAATGCCAAAATAAAACTAGGTTTATGATCAATTTGATTGTCGATAGTCATGTATTTTATTTATTTATTCAAAAGAAGCATGTTCTATTTATTTTGTACTTTCTCCATCAACTTAAAAACTCTGGTAGTTCTGGTATTAACATTCCTGTCCTAGGGCTACAAAATGCAGATAGCATGGTACGGTTTTATAGCAGTCTTGTTATATGATTAATTTATAAACATGGCATTGACAGATCTCATGCTTTTCTTTTCCATTTTCCATTTACCTTGAACAAAATATAAAAAATATATATAATTGCAGTCTACAAACTTCTAGTAGCTTGTCAGGTTGCATATTACTTTATTCATAGCAGTGGTTTATTGGTTACTGCATTTTCTGCATTGTACTATGCCTTTTTATATAAGCCTATATAAACACATAATTTCAGTTTTATTAGAGAATATCATGGAATACGTGTAATATTTACATTGTTTGTCTTTTTTTAGGCATGGTTCCTGCACTTTTCCCTGATGAAGAGAAGGAGGCTGTTTTAGGCCAGATCAGGGATGAAGCTAGTAAAAATGGGGTGGGCCCAGCAAAAGAAAGCATTTGGCAATACTTTGTTAACAAGAGTGCGAACAATCTTCATATTGTTCTTGGAATGTCCCCGGTTGGTGACACATTAAGAACAAGATGCAGAAATTTTCCAGGTAATGGAGACATTCTTCTTTTCTAACTTTCAAACCATTTTACATCAGGAGGTATAAAGTAAAGGCTTAAGAAAGCATCATAAGAATTTAAGTATTTTTGTAATAATAAAAGTTAAAGCTGAATTCCAGGAAAATATAATGGCCACAAATTAATGCAGTATTTTTTTGTAAATGTACGCAGTATAGGTACTTGAATTTTATTTGGTGCAAGCCTATTGCAATCCTCTGTACTGCAAAACTCAAAATGGAAGAGGAAGAGGCAGCAAAGGAACCAAGTTAGTTGTGCTTCAGTGGTTATTTGCTAGAAAGGGACATGCTGCTAGATGGAGAGAGCTCAGTGACAATGATGAGCTCATCGGTGTGCTGCTTCTCCCTTCACCATTCAGTCACAGGCTGAGGGAGGAACAGGACCTGGTAGTGTTAAATATCTACAATGGAGGAAAAATTCGGTATCCTGCCTGTCAGACAGGGATTTGCTGTGTGGCAGAGCTGTGTAAATCTTAGAGCTGGATGCCAAGAAATACATATTGTTTGGTTGGTAAAATGGATTCTTAGTATTTGTATATCTCTGTTTGTCTGAAGGTTAGCTTTAAAAAACACATTGTCTGATGCTGATTGATGCCGATAATGTCCCTATTTGTTGGTGAATGGCGTGCCAGCATGCCACTTTTTGGTTTGAGATGCTCAGCAAACAGGCTTTTATCCAATATAGGGTACCTCTCTAGGTTACTGAGGTCCTGTTGCAAAATGTGCTGAGGTCAGTCCTTGCCATTAATTTTTCTTTAAAATATTTTTTTTTCACCCTCAGTAAAATCCTTTCCTTGTGATAGCAAATCATGCACATCATTAACATTTTGCTGCTTAACCTCTTCATGCCTACTGGTAAAAACAAATCTTAATGCCTAAGCACAATCTTGCAACGTTGACGTGTTAGTAAAACCGTATATATCATCATAACTACTTTGGACATCCAGGTGAATTATACCGTGTTTTTTCAGGAGAAATTGGGCTTTCATTTGGTGGTAAATGGTAATAGATATCTCCTAATTTTTTTTACTATCAAAGGAAAACTGGCCCAAAGTAGTAAAAAAAAAAAAACTTTTACCATATATATGTATGTTATTTGTTGTTTGTACCCACAGTACAGCCCAGAAACAATAGTTTGGGTTTTTTTTTTTACCCTAAAACACACTGACACTGACACCAATTTACAAAAAAAAATTTCTAACCTTTGACCCTGAGCTTGATCCAAACACTAACCCTGGCACTGAACTAGATCAAACCTTGAGCTAGATATTTTTTCCTTAATTTGTATTTTATTTTTTATTATTTATTTAGTTATTTCTTTATTTTACAAACATTTGTTTTGTTTTTTTTTTCCTCTATGCAAGGAAAAAAAAAAGAGATACAATGTATCTCCTCCATTCGTAGAGAAAAAAAAACCAAGGGGGGGTGGGCTGTACAGTGACTGATCACTGTGATAGCTAATCAGAGGCTAATAATCATGCAATCATGTGACCCAGAATTGGGAGTCCCGGGTCCCGATCATTAGAATTGGACCTGGGGCTCTCATTGACACCCTGGTCTTTCTGCTGGGAGCGAGCTCTGCGGTGCGCTCCCAGCAGAAAGACAGGTAAGCCCAGTTCTGTGAGGCTGCATATTTGTGTGATGTTGGTGGGAAGGGGTTAAAGCGCATGTGTCTTCCCTGCAGATCCTCACAGCAAACCATAAAAATGTAGAGCAAGATGGGCCAAATCCCTTTTGAAGGCAACTACATTCCATTCTGCTGCTGTAAGGCTCCCTGTGAGCCTTTCCATTATGCAAATGTTGATTTCTCTATTGTCTATTGAGGGACAAAGTTTAATAGAATAAAAAACTGAAGTTAAATGCTGCCTACAGTAGAAATAGAAAATAGATATATAGAAAACTGAAGGCCAGTCCAATTGAGACTATTAACACCTTTCACACCACATCTGCCTATTAGTAGCAAGCTGTCCAAAGAGAAAATTATAGCATGTGAGGGGATGGCTCTGTGTCCCATGTGTCAGAGAAAAGAACATTTCCTACAAAGTACAAAAATCCTTGGATGAGGCAAAAATTGTTAGATTTCTTAAAATGTCATGTTATAATATCCTGTCTATAGGAGAAACAGACACTGCCAACAGAAAAAAGTCATTGGTGAGTACAGGTTAACCCTGCTCACTACCATAATGCTTCAGTTTTTGCTAGTGTCCTCAGGAGAGTAAATATGTTTTCTTCATTTTAATTAAAAAAAAAAAACAGCATGAAATCCTCCATACTCCAGACTTTCTAACTTCTGTGAACATCAGGGACCCAATCCTGCTTGTTTCCTAGTAGAAACACTGCTGTGTTCTAATGGCATACCCATTGTGGACTACTTTGATGGTCTCCTGTTAAAGAAAGAGTTGGCGTGAGCTTTTGTTGTACATAGTTGACTGTCCAGAAGTGGCTGTAGTTCAAGTGGATACTGAAATTTCAAAAATTCTCACTGGAACAACTCATCTTTTGGAGGATCTTGATCTAGTCCTGGACACAGTCCAGGCTGGAGTGTTTCTTCTAAGGAAAAATTTCTGGTCTTAGATTGAGCTTTCAAGTCCAGGAGTTGCCTGATTCTCCACTTTTGCATTCTTGGCTTACTGGTATTTGCCTTCCACATGTCCTGTTTCACTCAAGACCTCTTCTTCACTACGTTCTTTCTCCATGGGGCAAATCAATCTGGCCGACGAATAAATCAATTTGTTTGGCACCAAAGACCAATTTGGCCCTGGCTTGGTGTCTCAGGAGGCAGATGTAGACAATTGTCACATGGATTTCCTCAGCTAGTATTGTCTGTTCCACTTTAACTTGTAGTTAACCGGAATCAGCCCTAACTAACTCCTTCCTTACCTTCTCCCATTAGCTAATATTTTGCTGCAGATTTTTACAAATATTTTTCTTTTTACTATTAGCATATAAACCTTTTTGTTTTGTTTTGTTTTGTTAGCTTTGCATTGAAAAAAACAAATGTATTTATTTTTATCTGTAATTGCCATGTCTTGTAATAGAAACCCAATTTTAGTATCATCAAAAAAAGGACAAATGATAGAATAAAGTGTGTGCTTTATAGCTACGATAACACTGATTTAAAAATAATATTAGGCATATTAGAAAACATTAAGTTTTGATCATTTTGTTACGTATTTTGTATATAGAGATTGCATAGAAAATAAAATAGCTTTCAAAGACAGTTTTGCCAAAACAAAGCATTGTTTTACCAAAAATATATACAGTACATATTGTAATCCTTTTTTTTTAAAGAGTAGAGTTTATTAGGATTCATAGCATTGTAGTACAGAAAGACAGACAACATCAATACACTGTGCATGAGAAGGTGAGTTACAGAAACCAAATATGCCAGCAGACTGAAAACAGTGCATCAAAAACCCAGAAGTTTTAGGAATATGGACTCAGGACACTACTTATCAGCTTCAGACTCAGTGAGATGTTCTAAATAAATATAGTGTCCCTTTGAAATTCACGAAAAAGGACTACAATATTCCAGGGGCCCCTTCCAATTGGTTGCTAATGCACAGGAAAGAAAGTTAGCAAGCAGAGATGGAAAGCCACACAAGAAGATAGGGCAAAGAGTGTATCTGGCTGGGGAGTCGACCAATCTAGCAACAATTGCAGGCAAAAATGCCATGTAATCAAAGGAAGGAGTTTGGCAGAGGTAGAAAAATTGACCAAGGTTTACCATAATACCAGAAATTGTGGATATCATTCATTAAGACAGGCAGTAAACTTTTCCATCCTTATGATGTGGTACAGATACAAGGAAGTGGGTAGTTCCCTTTTAATCTTTGGGACTGACCTAAGTATGGTTGAAACTAGTTGGAGTCTGGAGTTTCTGGCTAGTTTATTAAACAAACCTGTTTTATTAAGTGTGTTAAGGTGGCCGTGCACTATACAGTCTTTTTTTATACAAATTGAATAGATATTTTTGTGTGGTTACCTATTACATATTTTTTATAAATCTACAGGAGATTGTACAGTGATTGTATAGTGTATGATCAGCTTTAATTTATGAAAGTTCGATGTTACTTTAGGCTGCAGCACCATCACAACATATTGAAAATGGGTTTAGTCCTAACATGTCTGTTACTGGCAAATATTCCGTTGGAATAATCCTTGGAATGAAGGCAAATGTATGGTGATTTAAACGTGAATTTATAAAATTACTATCTATTCTCAGTGTAATGTTTTACTGCACATTAGACCTTCTTTATGTTTTCAATGTCATATACTAAATGATTTTTTATTTCAAGGTTTGGTGAATAATACTGGAATTGATTGGTTCTTGCCTTGGCCACCTCAAGCTCTGTATGCTGTTGCTAAATCATTTTTAGGTAAGTGTACTAAGAGTTACAGTAATTCGTATTGCCAGGCTTGTTAAATTAAGCAGTGCAAAGAGCAGTGTTGATATGCTAAGTAAGCTTCTCCAGACAGGCACTGACACCCGTAGTCCATGAACAGGCACCTTGTTTATGTGGCTTCAGTCACGAGGTGCTAAGTGCGGGCAGCTCATTCATGTCTCTTGGGATGCAGTGACTGCAAAAACACAGCTGTTTGTCCCAATTTGACAGCCATATGGATAAGTGGCCTTGACACACTGCATTCAGTGCTGCTCACCTGCACCCTCACAGTTGTCAAATTGAAATGAGCAGCTTTGGTCACACAGCACCCGGCACTTGGCTGCTGAATCTGCATAAAGAAGGTGCACATTCGCGGGTAATGGGTGTCAGCACCCATCTGAATGAGGCCTAACCAAAACAACCCAATAACAAATCATTTTCACTGAACTCATGTTAATAAATTAAAATCAATTTGGCAACTATAGGTCAGTACAGCTGTGTATTAGCCTTGATGTTTATTCTACTGATTTAATGAAAATAAATGTTACTCAAAGTTTACTAAAGAAAAGTTGTTATAATTTTAGATCAATAATAAAGTTTTTGCTTTTTTAAGTTTAGAAGTTTTTAAAACTGTTGCTTTTTTATCTGTTTTTTTTATTGATGCATATTTACAAATGTAGATCCTGTGATTTACAAAATGTTCCCAAAGCACTATAAATTAGTGCTCTCAAGAGACAGCACAGCCATGAAAGCTTTGATTAAATTTTTAAGCTCAGCAGTCTGATAAGGGATGCATCAATGTTGTGATGGTGGATTAAAGTATTATTACACCATCAATTTTTTAAAATAATATATTCTGATCAAGCAGTGAAAAATTCCTCAGCACATGATTTAGTCCATATATGTACCAATCACTGTTTGAATCTTCATTGGCATCGGTTCCAGATCCCTAAACACTGATTCCCCAAATTTCCTGTTGAGGAGAGTACACTCTCTGTACCAAGTCACTTGAGGAGGGAGGAGACGGGACCAAGGGAGTGACTTGCCATTCTAGGGCTTTGGGGTTATGTGTTTGTGTTGACCCACACAGCTCCCAGCAGGTAGCACGTGTGCATCTGTTGCTTGTCAGGAGAGCTCTGTAATTACCATACACGGTCACTACAGGCAATGACAGTCATGTTATAATGTCTGCAAGCAGTATCAAACCAATGTGGTTAGACGGAACAGAAGCTTCCATCTGACTGAATTTCAGTATAGAATCCACAAATTATTATTTATTATATTAATGGTCATAAGTTATGGCAACATTGTAGGCACTGCTTGAATACTACTGTTATACTAAGCTTATGACTACATCTTTCAGGCTTCAACAAATTATATTCTTATAGATTTAAAAACATACCTGAAAGTTCTGTTGCCAGTTTAAGCAGGAAGCTTTCTGAATGTCTTTTTTCTGCTTCTACACTACATTTCTGGTCTATATAATACAATAAACCAGGCCACCATAATAAAGTTTCACATACTCGGCAGGGTGCAGTTTGCATTTCAGCAAGGCTAGTGAAGAAAAACCACCAGTAAGGGCCTAGTTGAATACAGCATATTGTAATGTAAGCTATGCTTTCTGTGTGCTCCAGGAGAGAGCCAAATGATCCCATCTGAGGATTTAGAGCCAGTCATCAGCCATGTTGTAATGGTTCATGAGTCTGTGGGAAAATTCAGCAAAATATTCCAGCAGAAGTTGAGACGCAGCAACTATGTAACTCCGAAGAACTACCTTGACTTCATCAACACGTATTCCAAACTGTTGGAAGAGAAGAACCAGTTTAACTTGGGTAAAAAAATAATGTAGACTTAAAATTTTAACATGTATACTGTATATGTAGTGTGATTTGTCAAGGCTTTTATTGTGCTGCATGTAGGAAACCCATGACTAGCGTAGATATCCATGGGAGGCAGAGCAAAGCGTTATCTCCAAGGATGGAAGTTTTCAGCTAGCAGCCTAATATTCCCTCATGATAACAATGAAGCTGAGGTATCTGAAATATTCATAGGCTTGCACTTTCATAGGATGGACAGTGTAGACAATTTATGACAGCCAGTTGTATTATAATATCCATTGGTTTTCTAGCTATCGGTAAAATCACAATGCTGTAATACTGTCCAAAACAAAATTTTTTAGGTCAGTTTATCGCATTAGAGATTTTGAGCTCCATTCACTAAAGCGGATCGCATGTAGTATTTAATATTCTGACACATTTTTCCCCAAATATCACATGCGATGCTGAAAATGTCAATTCACTATCCCTTTATGCAGTATTTACTAAAAAAAAAAAACAAAAACGCTCAGTAAATACAGCATAAAGCAGTGTTAAAGTCAGTTCTTTAAAGGAACAAAATAACTGCATGCGGTAAATAAGTAATGGTCCAGGCATATATTAAAGGATTCTGTTTTATTTAACTGGTTGCTAGGGAACTGGCAGCCATTAACATCCTTAACAACCAGTAAACAACTGCATAACAATAAAAATCTTTGAAATTCAACTGGATAAATCCAGAGCACTTAAAACTCCGCTACATTTCACATTGATTAGTGCTCAAGTAAAATCCTCCATTAATATAAAGGGCCATCTCTGCCATCAGGATGGAACCTGCACCAGCTGTCATTGATTAGGAGAATGCTATTGATGTATAAAGACATGGCAATTTTAAACCTACTTAGATGACATTAAATTGATGGAGGAGTTCACTTGAGAGCACTTACTGAATAAGAACGAATCAGCAGTAAGCAGTTCACATGTTTAAGCATTCTAAATATGCTTTGTTGAATCTCAGTAGAGATTTTTATGCAGTTAATGCTGATTCGTGCCATCCTCTTGCTGTGCCACATTGAGGACATCATAGTGACGAGCTGGATGTGCATCCGGAGTGTTATGGTGGTCTAGCCTGAACCCATCTGTAGAGGTGACTGTATACAGGAAAATCTGTGAATGTGAACATTTTTAAAAAAACATTAAGCCTAGCTGTGACTGATGCAAAATAAAATAAGGAACTGGCAAGCACTGTTTAAAACAATTCACATTATAGATTCAAAATAAATCATGATAGTCCGCATTATTTGCAAAGTTTTTATTTATGCACATTTCAAAGTATAAAACAAATAACAACATCCTAGCATGCAACCTTTTATAGTGATTGTAAAATGTACCAGATATAAGCGTCATATAGCAAGATAAATATAGAAACATTGGACGTGACAATCTATAAATTCACAATAAATGGAATGTCGTTATTAAAACTGTTCAGCCCTACAACAAAAAATAGAGAATTAGCATGAGCATAAGCTAGGTGTGTACTGTGTAGAATAACATTAGGGTAGGAGCACAAGAACTCTGGTCTGAATTTTTCAAGTTGGGGTTAGGATATTTATAGATAGAAAGGCCAAGTCAGGAGAAGAAGAAGCACTGCTCTTGTGCACAATTAGAATGGCCTGGACATTATTGTGATATTCAGCTTGTCCAGCATGCAGCAGGAATGAGAGAGAGGCCCCTCAATACCTGCAAGATTTTGTAAAATCTTCATGAAGGTGGTTTGGTCTCTGAGATCGTTATTTGAATTTATAGGGGAGTCCAGGATCTCGTGACCAGATGATTGGGTAGCTTAGATAGGTTAGAAGAGATGAGATATGTCTCTGGCATAGTATGTATTGCTGGCTTTCTAAAGTAATCTGTACCAATCTGTATTTTGGAAAATCTTCATGAAGGTGAACTTACACATTAAGCACCGAAAGTATGAAATTGCAGTTGACCCTGTCAAATGCCTTCTCAGCATTGGTAGCCAACAAGAGGCAAGGGGGAAAAGTGGATTTAATTGCATAGGTCAGATTGAGAACTTTGGTGGTGTTTTCTTTGGCTTCTCTTGTAGGTATAAAACTTATGTGGTTCAGGTGAATGAGAGATCTGAGATATGGAAATAGACGAGCTGCCAGAATTTTAGTGAAGATTTTGATAGCTACGCTTAACAGCAAGATTGAGTGATAGCTAGTGCAGGATGTTTGGTCTTTACGCTCCTTTGGGATAACTGATATTTGGACTTTCAAGAATTTTGTTGTGGAATAGGGGGAATTGAGACAGTGAGTTAAGGGCCGTCACCATGGGGGGAAGATTAAGGTGACGAGTATAGCACAAGAAGTCATCTGGACCTGGTGCTTTTCTCAGTTTGGTCTCTGAGATCGTTATTTGAATTTATAGGGGAGTCCAGGATGTCGTGACTAGATGATTGGGTAGCTTAGGTAGGTTAGAAGAGATGAGATATGTCTCTGGCACAGGGGCGGACTGACAACTCATGGGGCCCGGGCAATAGGGGATCATGGGGCCCCTCTGTCCTTGCCCAAACTCAAAAAAGCCTATGAAAAAGGTACCAGGGGCATCTCATGGGGCCCCCTACTGACCCTGGGCCCTCGGGCAGTGCCGAGTTTCCAAATGATCAGTCCGCCCCTGCTCTGGCATAGCATGTATTGCCGACTTTCTAAAGTAATCTGTTTCCATTCTGTATTTTGATGTACTAAGTGCACTGTCTTTATTATTTGTACACTGCAAGTCTTCAGTGCCTCTAAACTGTATACTATAAATATTAAAATTGATTAATAAAAATGTTAAACAAGAGCAGTGCCAGACTGATAAATTATCTATGCTGTATTTCTTTCTCAGCACAGTGCAAACGTCTTGAAGGGGGTCTAGATAAGCTTAAAGAAGCTGCTGTACAATTGGCTGAGCTGAATTTAAAGCTGGCGGAACAAAAAGTCATATTGGCTGAGAAATCAGCTGCATGTGAAGCATTATTGGATGAGATATCAGTTAACACAGCAGTAGGTGAGTAATACACAAGATCAAATGACATCTACAATTTTCTGGGGCCAAACCCCTATCCTCCAGCTATTCCCATTCTGTTACTGCATTTGTGAACATCACCTCTCTGGAGCTTTAACCTTAATTACTGAAGATAGGGGAAATTCTACTTTTAGACAACTGTCACTGGGACAGATATCTACTGTGTCTTCATTTCCATCCATGGACACAGTAGATATCTGTCACGGTGACAATTATCTAAAGGTGGAATTTCCCCTATTTGTAGGAATTCCTACTTACCTCCTATTGTGTATATGACACAGGAACTGATGATCATTCTCTCCAGGGGGCACAGATTAAAAAAAAAAAAAACTGACAGGGTATTATTAAAAAAATGACTTTCTTGCAAATGCAAACCCAGATTTGAATACTATATCATGTTATTGATTAACACAGCTGAAGAAAAAAGAAAGCTTGCTGAAGAAAAGGCTGCAGAAATAGAGGAGCAGAACAAAGTGATTGCAGTAGAGAAGCAGGAAGCAGAGAGTGCCTTGACAGAGGCTTTACCTATATTGGAGGCTGCAAAACTGGAACTACAGAAATTGGACAAGTCTGATGTCACAGAGATAAGGTAAAATGGAGCTTACCTTGAATTTTTCACTTTTGTTTCCTACTTATCAGAGCACTGCTAATGTTACAGTGTGATGTGGAGAAGGAGATTAATTAAGGCCAGGGCTTTTTTTCTCAGAGGAAAGGTGGTGGAACTCCCCCACCCAAACCTGGCCACGCCCCCATCAAACCCTAGGACCACCCCTTTAGAGAACAGGAATGCAAGTAAAATTTGGGAGGGGCTATAAAAGTAAATGTATGGAATTAACACCGCCCCCCCCCCCCCACATTAGTAAGAATAGCGAGTAACACTGCCCCCCCCCACATTAGCAAGAAAAAGCGAGAAAAATTGTATCGCCGCTCCTTACCTGATGCTGACGATCCGCGCTATGGTAGGATCGACGAGCAGAGGGCGTGATGACGTCAGCGCGCACCGCCGGGTGTACTAAGATACACCTTTCCTATGGGGGTGGCCGCGCGCCCCCGATGTTTACACGCTGGCGGTAGAGGGGGGGGGTGAAGCGTGCATGTCCCCGCTCACCGGCTGTGAGCAGCGGCAGTGACAGGTGCCGGGCACGCGCAAGCATGACATAAACAAGCCGCGTCCGGCACCTGTCACTTTCGCTGCTCTGCATAGCTTGTCAGCTCTGCAGAGGCAGTCGGTGAGCGGGGACAAGAAGAAAAAGGTGGCGGAACGCAGTACCGCCGCGTTCCGGCAGAAAGAAAGCCCTGATTAAGGCCATTGCTTTATTGAGGGATACAGCAGGTACTGGTATAGGGCCTGCCAGGAAAAATGTTGTAGTGTATTACTACTAAATGAAGGTGTGATTGTTGTTGCTTTATTTTTAAGGGTTGTGAAAGAGATTTTTTTTTTGTGGTTTGGGGAACCATACTACAGTTTGGAGAATCATATTCAAGGAATCACAGTAATAAGGGATTACCAGTCTTCTGTCTAAAGATGGGAGGGAAAGGTGTACATTCTATTAAACTAACCCCGGCACCCAGAAGCCTTTGGGCAGACTGTGAAGTTGTCTCTCTCTCTCTCTCTGAGCATCAGGAAGCATCTCTTTCATTTCCTCACTCCCTCCAGCTCCCTTCAGCTATGAGGCCTCCCAAGTTTGATTATCTATCCTCCCACAAAGCATGGCACTCCAAATCTGCGAAATCCTCAGACAAGCCCTCCTAGGCATTAAAGTAAAACTAAATGTAATTATTTAAAAAATTCTGGATAGAGTAAGGGAAGGTTTTAATGCCTGTCATTTTTTTTCTTTTTGCCATCTCTGTTCAATGATAGAGACTTCTCTTCACTTCCTGGCCCATAGCCATAACAGGAAGTGAGTGGAAATCCCTCCAAAGTGTGGGAATCCTGTGGTGTCTCCAGAACTAGTGTCTTCATTGGGAAGTGTTGCCCACTGTTACTTTTCCAGTGTCAACCCAAAATTTGGGTTTTTCTTTTACTTTCTCTTTCGATAGTAATGGTAAACAGGACAAATAGAGAGGACGAATCTACCTAATGGAGGCACAGACAGCAATAAAAACTGTCAGGTGTTCTAATCCCTCTGCAATCTATCCAGAAAAAAGTTCTGCCTTTAATGTCACTTTAAGGTGCATTTCCACTTTCTGGAGTGGGGGATGTCTGTTGACCTTTGTGGATGTTTGCACATCTTGAATTCCAGATGCTTGGATGCAGGGGTGATACAAACTCAAGTTTCATTCCCTGCACCTTATTTACTTCCTTGAAACCTTTCTATGTCTTCTTACAGACTGGCGCCTTCTGGAATAGGGCATCAGAGTTCCAGTCCCTGCTGCCTGTTTATTGTCCCAAAACCCAAAGGGGGACATTTGGCCCATCATTTTTTAAACTTGTTTATTAAAAACATGCAATAGTGATAAACAAGTACATAGTCAAAGATGATTGCAGAAAAGGCACAAGTCTAAGGCAGTTTGAAAATACAGAGGGTTATGATATACTGTGTAGTACCCATGTGAAGGCGAACAAAGATTAAGTCATATACAATCAAGTGTGTCATAGTAATTGCCCTGTCATTTAACAAAAGTAAGGAAACAAATTAAAAAACCCTGTTAAAAAAAAAAAAAAAAAAAACAACCAAACAGGTGCAACCCGAAAAGGTTAGTAAGTTACTCACAAGACATTCACCTGCTTACATAGTAAAAGTAATCAATTAAAGCAATGGACTGTAGTGGTCATCCACTAAGCATTATAGTGTTACAGAGATAAGCTGATCTATGTCAAAAATAAGTATACACAAAGAATACCAAACAGGTCAAATAGGTTACAATATCACTATATTGAGTCAGAGATCAAAGAAAGTATAGAGTCGCTGGTATCCAGCCAAGGTCCCCAGATCTAATAACATTTTTTACGGGGATCACCTAGCCTTACGTCAGCTTATATAAGGGCAGGTTATAGCTGATTTTTTTCCATAGACCAATATGTAAAACCTTAGTATTAGTCCATTGTAGGACAATTGTCTTCCTAGTATAAGTGAACAGGAGACAAAAGTTACCGCAGATATATCCAGAGCCTTAAAATTCCAAGAAAACACAATTTGGGACAACATACATTTGGGAGATCAAACATAGTAGCAATAAATGCTGTAACCTGTGACCAAAAATGTCAGATTCTGCTAGACCCCTCAGACCATATGTAGGATGTCACCCAGTTTGCTGTCACATTTATGGTATGTAGGGGTATCTCTTTTGTGCATTTGAAATAAGCGCACTGGCATGTAGTACACCCTGTATAATTAGTGTAACTGGATAGGACTGTCTACCGGACTAGAATGAGAATTAATTAATTCTTGCCAGTTTTCTTCAGTAAGATCAGAGACATCCTCTGACCAGCAAGATTGCATTTTAAGGACGTGCGGGGGTTGTCTATCCATCAACAATGAATAGTAGGTAGAGATAAGACCTGTATCATCGGAGCAAAGAAGGGCCTATTCACAATTTGAGTTGCAGAGTTGGACATTACAGAGCCCAAATTGGGCTTCTGCAGCATACCTAAGCTATTCATAATAAAAGTGCTATGCCGGAGGAATATGCAATTTAATCTTGAAAAAGGAGGCAGGGCCTTGGAAATGCATTGCGGCCCTCCCCCCACAACCTGTCACATTCTACTGTCTGCCATCTTGTTAGTGCCATGAGTGAGAAAAGAGACACAGTCTCATCTATCATCTTACAGCGGGTCCCTGCTTGTGCCCTGCAGCCCTATCAGTCCATCCAGATTACTGTGAGCTGTCATATCGCAACACCACTCTGACACCTTGAGCAGTCTACAGGTCTTTCAGATGTAAGTGAGAGAATTAAATGGAATTTGGATCCTCAAAAATAGCCTCAAAAAGTATCCTAAGACGAGGCACTAGGTAATGTTTATGGTATACATATCATTCAATGGCGAAGCCAGCCAGATCGGGAGTTTTATGTTTAGCAAACATCCCTAAGGTTTTCTCAATCTCTTCAGAGGTAATCGAGCTATCTAAATACAACCTATCCTCTGAAGATAAAGTAGGGAGCCTTTGGCCACTCAGATACCCCACAAGCCCATCAGAACCATAGTTGCCTTGGTCAGTAGAAGTCTGGAGGATAGCCTTACTATCTAGAATCCTGGGAATGGCAAAAGGTTAATGAACCTGCTTAGCCGGAAAGGCAAGTAAGCTGCCATTCCTATCACCTGATTCAAAAATGTGTTGCCTAATACAGAACACCATCCAGTCATGTGGAGGCATCCTCAGGTGAAGTGAAGAACTGTGTTTTCCCTCCATTCACTATTCTGAGTTTAGCAGGGTAAAGCATACTTATAGTATATTCTTATCACATAGCCTGTGTTTGACTGTGGGAAAAGTGGCACTTTGCATTTGCATGGCTGCAGAAAAATCAGGAATGATGAGGATGGTGTTCCCATTTCAGTTTCAGTTTGCCCTGCTATTTATCCTAAAAACGCAGATGGTTAATAAGGAGCTGTCATGGTGGAGTACCAGGAGGCAGCGGATGTAACGGTACCCGATGGGCCCATTCTATGGCAAAAAGAGCAGAGAAGGTACCAGGTTGCATAACTGATTTGAGCCAGTCCTCCGTAAAGTGTTCTGGGTTTCTACCCTCAGATCCCTCTGGAAAACAAATTAAAAGTTAATTAATGTGTCAGAGTCTCTCCTCAAGGTCATTCAATTTAGGTGTATGGTCTGTAGTAGATTGTTGTAGGGAGCAGACCTCAAAATGTAAAGAAGCATTGTTCACATTGGGGCATCCGGTCATGCCCCCATATTTGCCCTATTTTGGATCTCAAAGCCTTGATTGTCTACATTCAGGTTCACAAATTCTGAATGGAATTGACTAGTTCTGTTATTGCCACCCTTCATCAGGGAGACATCTTTCCAGTGCACCAGTTTTTTTTGTTTTTTGTTTTTGTTTTTTTTAGATTTGCTGTAGGGCCACTACACTACCAGCACATGCCCAACCATTTTACCTCTTCTCTGCATCTTGCGTGCTCAACACCCACAGTATTCCCACTGTACAATACTCCGTCAATCTCTTGTTGAGGACCAGTCAGTAAAGGCTTGTCATAAAACATATCTCTGACTATTCAAATGTTGCAGAGGTCCAGGAGGATCCCTAAAGCTTTGTTGATGAAATTGACTCATTGCTTGGAGTATCTGAGTTTGGTCCTGGACCACAACAGAGTGTCCTTTCCTCAGAAGAAGCTTCAATAAACCTCCAGTTTGTTAGGATTAGGAGGATAAGGAAACCCTGATCTCTGCTTTCCCCCCCGAAACTTCTTCCTTGTTTTCTCTGCAGAATAGAGATGGAGGGCATTTCTGTGATCGTCATTGCCCCCGTTTAGACCAAGGAGATATAGTATGCCAACCTCCTAAGGTTTCTAGCAGGCGTACCATAGGTCCTGCCAAATTATCTGGATCTACTGTTCCAAGGGGACATTCTGATTCTTGGTCTTTGGCTTTAACATCATGGCTGTTGAAGCCCAGGTTCTAAAGGATGAGACAT